TAAAGACACCCTCACCTCCAAATCTTAGTAGCTTACAAGAACAGTTTTCTTTCTTGCTCATTTTTCATGTCAATCATAGATTGACTTAGGCTCTTGTATCTGGAGCCACGCGGGCTGAATGAGCAGCCCCTACCTGGGACCTACCAGGCCACTGGCTGTGAGAAGAGAATGATGTGAAACCAGAGTGGTTCTTAGAGCTTTTGCTCAGAACCGGCGTCTGACATTTCTGACCACATTTCATTGGCCAAAGCAAGTCATGTGGCCAAGCCTGATGTCAATGGAAAAGGAAAGTTTAATCCTTTATAAGGGCGGAGAGTCCCCTAATATTGGAAACGATAATATAATGATCAGACTTACTGAATTACGTTATATTAGGTGTAAGGAGGCTGCTATCTAAATAAATTAATAGGGTGAAATTACAAGCAAGTTCGAGACGCTTCAACTAACTCTAGAAAAGAAATATTAAAGGAGTCTAAACACTGAAGCTCTTCTCAACCTTTCTCAGCAGTGGCACAGTGAAAAAAATAAAAAGTCATTTCAGGTCATGGTAGTTGACTTGAAAGGACAGGAAACATAACCCAGGGAGCTGCTGAATCCAAAGTGGAATCGCTCCTCCATCAGCAGCTGTAAAGCACGGGCCAGGTCGCACAGCTCCTTACTTAGTAACATTGCCAAAATTCCAGGCTTCATTTATAACTCACTGCATTGCAGTTCTTTTGGAGTACATTACCAGGACTTCATAAAGATTGATTGAGTTCTAGGAAGCCATCGGATTGAAAGTCCAGATGTACATAAATCAAGTTATAACATCATTTAATTCACAGTGTGTCTGCCTAAGTCATTTTGGGGTGGAAGTGAAAAGACTTATAGCAAATCTTATGGGATTTGATGATCTGAAAAGTAAGAGATATTAAATGGGTGATTTAGCTGCAGGAATCAACTGCAGTGGTTTTAAATTGACTGAAGCCTTCATTGCTACTGGTTTAAAATGAATTTTAAATAATTTGAAATATATTTTGGGAGCTATTTAGGGTGAAGAGTTAAATGTGATTTTTGGCAGTCAAAAAGAAGATCTGATTTATATTCAGAAAAAACTCATCCGTCAATAAAAATACATGTCAGCAAACCTCTTTATATCTTAAAGCACTGTTCTCTACCAGAGCTAGTTCTAAATCTAAAAGCTTTTACATACATATGTTCTATGATAAGAACCCAAAGTTCTTGTACTTGATGAAAACAATTTCTGTGATCTTTTTATTCGTGAGCCACAAATCAATCTACAATTGAAATCACACTAGTTTTTGTGTGGAAGGACATGAGAAACCACAATTCCAATCCGCGCCCTCACGGTCTCACACTAGCCAGACACCTGGAGTTCAAAATCCGTAGAGTAGGTAAAATTTGCTATAATCTCTGAGCCCAACTCATTCTGTACCATTTTTTTTGTTTGTTTGAATTCTTTTTTTTTTTTTTTTTTTTTTTTTCTTTCTTCTTCTCTTTTTTTGTTTTGTTTTTTTTTTTTTTTTTTTTTTTTTTTTTTTTTCAGTCAGAGCCTCCCTCCGTCTCCCAGGATGTCTCCAGCGATCATCCCACCTCAGCCTCCTGAGTAGCTGGGACTACAAGCATGACCCACCACGCTCAGCTAATTTTTTTACTTTTTATGCAGACCAGGGTCTCACTATGTTTCCCAGGCTGGTCTCAAACTCCTGGGCTCAAGTGATTCCCCAGTTTTGGCATCCCAAAGTGCTGGGATTACAGGCTCCCGACACAGGGCCAGGCCTTGAATTTCACAATGCTTCTTTCTTTCTTTCTTTTTTGTTTTTTAAAGATGGGATTTCACCATGATGGCCAGGCTGGTCTTGAACTCCTGATCTCAGGTGATCCACCCACCTCGGCCTCCCAAAGTGCTAGGATTACAGGAGTGAGCCACTGTGCCCAGCCTTATGATGTTTCTTAATGCCTCAATTCCCCTTTTCTTTTTTCCCTACGTTTTCATCTTTTCCTATCTTTTTCTTTCAAAATCTGTTCTTTAAAAGAAGTTATTTTTAATTAAAATTTACCATCACATACCTTAAAGGCTGAGGAAATTTAACCTATTAGCAAAGGTCATTGTATGCAAATACCAATAGAAAACAAAGTTTTGGCTAAAGGAAGGATGATCTAAAGGGAAATTAGAGACAATTGAAAGTGAAAGTGGAAATATAGTCCTCTCTTTTTAAAATCACACAGTGGAGCAAATTTAAAAACAAATACTCAAAAGGACAGTTCATTCATATGGATGTTACATTTCTGTCCGCTCCTCTGACAATTTTACAGGCATTTTTGATGGAACAAATTCTTAAAGGAACAGAGTTTTCTCCCCAGTGACCTCTAAACATTTGCTCTTCATTATGAAAGACTGAACTCAATATTTTTTTCAATTAATAGTAATATTTATTTAATTTTAATTAATATTCCTGAGAAATGTTGACTCTACATTTGATTTTAAACGTTGTATGTGAATTTACTTTCATACAATCTTTAAAAATGGTAATTAGAAAAATCTGGATTATTTCCCTGCCTTTGTTGCTTTTCCAGCAGTTCTGTGAAATTAGGGAGTTGAATTTGAGATAGTATTTAACGGTGTTCAATTCTGAAATTCTTTGTTGGTTCTTTTAGTTGAGAACAAGCTTCTTTAGTTGAGAACAATTACTGCCAAATTTATCTCTTTGTTAAATAGGAGCACGTGTGTATTACTTAAGCATAAAGCTAGGTACACTGCATTAACCAACACAATGCCGTCTTCTACTGGCTATTAAAAATTACTGTTTAATTTAATATGCAGAAAACTACCCAATGATTTCTAAAACTAGAGCTTAACTTTAATAAATGCACTGTTAATTACTATATTTTATAATCTAAATTTAGTGTCTAAAATGTAGATTATAATACATTTAATTTAATATCTAAAATGTATTATAATCTCCCTTCCCAGTTACAATTATCTACACTTCCCTTTCATTCTTTTCCTATAGGTGTGTTGTTTTTGCATGTCATCTAAATTACTCTTCTCATTTCGTTTGATTTTTGCTTCCAGTTCACCCAGCTAATACACTCTTTAAAAATGTGTCATAACCTTTATTCATTGTATTTTATGTGTATTTCATTCGATATTTATTTGAAGAATAATGCATGGACTTGACAATAAAAATTCAGACTACAAAAAGGGGCACAAAATAAAAATGTAAAATCTTTCTCTCTCCCCACATCTGTCTTACTTTCCAAAGAGGACTATGTTTAACATTTTTTGGTTTTGGTTCTTGTGATGATTAGTTTGGAAATTCTAAACCGGTGCTGTTCAATAGAAACATAATGTGAACCACGTTGAATCTGTCTAGTAGCCACATTTTAAAAAGTAAAAAGAAGCAGGTGAAAATAATTTTAATGATGCATTTTATGTAATGCCATTTATCCACAATGTAATTATTTCATATGCAGTCTACATGAAAAAATGAATATTTGAAATTATATGTTACCTCTTAACTGTATTTTATACTTATAGCACATATTAATTCAGACTAGCTACATTTCAAGTGTTCGATAGCCACATGTGGCTAGTGGCTGTCATATTAGACAGCGAAGATCTAGATAATATGCTAATAAATCAAATTTTTTGTCTGGCAATTTTAAACAGTATCTGTTAATTTCCTGCCAAAAAGATGAAGAATTTAACATCTTGTACTACGCGTTCTATCTTACAAATCTCATTAAATATGTATTTTTAGGTTTCCCATTAGTCTTCTTTATTATTTTGAAAACTATACCTACTCTTCTTTTCTTACACTAATATTAGAAAATATCCTTGGAATTCCAGCTATGCAAGGTGTAGAAACTAATATTCCCCTCACTTCTCTCCATCTCTCCCACTATGCCTCCAAACTTTTGTCAAGCTATAGCACTACTTTTAAATTGTTAAGGTTCATAACCTTTTTATTCTGTTCTATCACTTCAATAAATTTAATTTTCTTGTCTTGTTTTAGATCTCTAGATATGTAAAACATGTGACAACATTTGAAATATTATGAGTTTGGCAACTTCATTGTACAACCAAGCAGTGTGATTGAACCCTTTGGAAGCACTATCTCCCACTCTCAATCTGTGCTACTTAAAGAAGAACGTTCTGAATATTAAGCACAAATAAATTCTCATTTCCTCTATTCCATCAATTTGTCAGAATTGTGCTTCAGTTTAGTTTGTTTCACATGAAGATCATAGCTCATTATTCAACATTGTGGTTTTTCTTGAATTCTCTTATTACCTTTCATTTACCTTGTTAACTAAGATATATACTGGCCATTTTATTTTTAGATCATCATGGTTTTTCATCATATCACTTAGCATAGGTAAGTGACTCTCTTCTTAGAGACTATCTCTGGTAGCTCACTAAGTTCCTTTTCTAACTCGAATTTATTGCCTTGTATGTCTGCTGCTGAGCTATGATTCTGGGATTTAAATTCATTACTCTATTGGCTAAATTTGCAGTTTCTTACATGCCAAGTATTTCTCTTTCAGCCAAACAAAATATTTTATTAAATTATATTCTTTAGTAACTTTAAAAAAAACATGCACAAGAGAAATAAGCTTTCTGAAGCTTTGCATGTTTGAAAACGGCTTTACTTTCCTTTCACACTGGACTGGCACATTTTAATTTTCCAATAAACATCAGATTTCTATAATAGCCTTTCAAGCTATAAATGCACATTAGTGTGTCTTTACCCTATGGAAATTAAAATGCAAGTGAACCAGTAATTACACAGTTATGGGACAAAATAAATCCTTGGACTTCTCCCCATTGGAGTCCCTGCAGTGAAGCAATATTCCATACTTTACCTTTAGCCACTGTTTTGAACCAGTTGCGAAATCAAAAGTTGCATTATACAAGCCTTCCTGGTAGATACTTGGAAGAATTACAACACTCTTCAGCATGTTTAGAAATGTCCATATTTCAGCCCACATTTTACAAAGACATAATTGCATGGTGGGTGCCTTGTGACTTTTGAAATAAATACATTCTGTGAACGAGGAGAAATGCAAACATGTTGGCAAAACTGATTATTTTCATTGTGGATTTCGTGCTTGCTTTGGCCACTTTTGTTATCTTTTCCTTAATGACTGCCACTTTTATTTTCATCTTGGTCATTTTCTATATTTTCAAAGTGGAGATGGAAAAAAACTGTGACTTCAACAAGGGCCACATCTGGGTGCTGGATTCTAGTGATGCTACTGGGGAGCCCTTGGCAGGTGGCGCAGAGAAAGTCAGCTCCAAGCTGCTTCCTGTCCATTTTCCAGCTGTAGGAGAAGGATCTTTCCTGACCAGGGAGAGTGGTCTCCTCTTCTAAAGAGCAAGGAGCTCTCTGCGGTGGAGAAGGCATGTGAAGACTTCCCAGAACGCTGCACCCACCTGACTGAGAGTTCCTTTTTAAGGTGAGACACATAGAGTATGTTTCTTTGTCTTTAAATCTTGCCATTAATTCACTCTACAACATATGTAGAGGGTCGAGAGGGATGAGGAATAACTTAGATAAATTTTGATTCAGATGAGCAGAAGAATAGGTCCTGCATGTGAGGCACTGGTAAAGTCAGGTATTCCAGGGAAGAACTAAGGGGAAGGGGTAAGGAAGAGGATTGTGGAAAAGAGACACGATGTGAACCTTGGATGTGATAAAACGGAAGGGTACCAAGGCAAACATTCACTTTTGCCTTGTGTAAGCTTTTAGATATTGAAGAAAACTCTACACTCCACTGTGCTAACATTCACTGGGGATGGGCGATGGCTGGACCCCAACAAATATTTCTTGTGTGGTCTTGGCCATTTGTCCTGGAGTTCTCGTTTATTTCCTATGTTTTCCTAATGTAAAGGATTAGGGTTGATGGCAATGATTTGATAAGAAAGAAAATTTAAAAATGCTTTATGATTTTGAACACCTGAAGCTGGCCCTCAACTTCCACTATACTCCTGTCTTGTACCTGGCTTCAGAGGAGCTGCTGGCCCTGCAAGGTGTTTACATTTGTATAACCTGTCACGTTCCTCCAGCCCCACTTGAGTTATTTTTGCATCCAAAGCTGTCTCTCCCTTACCGTCTAATGTGAGTTCCAGAAAGGTAAGTTTAATACTCCTAACTTAAAAATTCGGCTAAGTGAAAATTCATCTCTAAGACTTGCTATTTAACAGTGATTCAACCAGGGAAACTGCGTAACTTTTGGATCTATTTTTTAGACTACGCTAGCCCACTTTTAAAATTCAAAAGGATCTTGAACGTCATCTAGTATACTTCTCATCCAACATTATGAAGTATCTTCTATAAGAAGCTTGTCCAACCTGTCCTGGGCCCAGAGGCTGCATGTGGCCCAGGATGACTTTGAATGTGGTCAAACACAAATTCATAAACTTTCTTAAAACATTTTGAGTTTTCTTTTTTTTTGCTTTTTTTTTTTTTAGCTCATCAGCTAGCATTAGTGTTAGTGTGTTTTGTGCTAGCATTAGTGTATTTTATGTGCTGGTGTTAGTGTATTTTATGGGCTAGCATTAGTGTTAATGTATTTTATGTGTGGTCCAAGACAATTCTTTTTCCAATGTGGCTCAGGGAAGTCAAAAGACTAGCTATACCATTCTTCTATAATATCTCTGAAAGATAGTTGTCCAACTTCTGCTTAGACATTCTGCATGAGATGCAATCTTTTCCCTCACAAGGCAGTGTGTTGTTAAGAAGTTCTTTGTAACATACAGTGGAAATCTGAGTCCCCACAACTTCCATCACTTAGTCCTATTTTTACTCTGTTAAGTGACTCAGAAAACAGCTGACTATGTACAATGACTTCACTGGAACTGGAATCACAAACTCTAAGAAGAAAGATCAGCTTCTCCTTTTATAAATTTCCTGCTTTTTACTCAAAGCATTGAACAATGTTGTCTTTTTCATTGCAAATGAAACCCATATAAGATCATAATAGTAAGATAAATCTAGAATGTATTGTGTATATTATTAGAAAATTCTTGATTTGTCTTTTCTGACTTCTTGTACATATTTGTTAATCAGGAATTTTGAAATCCATTTCTTCAAAGCTTCCTCAAGCCTGGGAGTGTTGCCAATTTGCATGGAAGAACAACATTTTATTAGTGCATTCATAACTATTAAAATGTAATTCTAATGCACTGACCCAATTTCACAGCACATCAAAAATTTAATTCAACTCAAAATGACTGTCACAAATGTCTGATAATTTTCCAGTGGATGTTCTTTGTAAGGTCAGATAAATTTGAGTATTTTAGAAAATTGTCAGTACAATTTTTTGTGAATAATGAAACAGGAATACCCCGAGTAGCAAGCAATCCTAATCTTTACCGAATGAAGCTCCTTTCATCAAAGGTAGCTGAGAGTGGAGAAAATTGGGAAAGAGTTCAGCCATCCCATTTCTGGTGGCAATGGATTCAGCTAAAGGGATCCGGGGGCTGGAGTAAGGAAGTCCATGTTTAGGATCCCCAGGGCTTTGTTAGTAGGATTAGGAGAGTCAAAGTGTTAGAAGCCAAAGATTTTCTGGCTTTGTGGATGGGTGAGGGTGAGCAAGCTTCTAGAACACAAAGAGAAAACTCAAGTCCTGGAATGCATATCTATAGTCCCTTTTTTGTTTCTGCCTCTGGTGACATTTCTGATAATATAAAGTTGGCCCTCTCTATCTGTGGGTTCCACATTTATTAATTCAACCAACCATCTATGAAAAAATATTCAAAAAAAATTTTAAAGAATACAATAAACAATACTGCTTTAAAAATACAGTATAACAACTACTTACATAGCATTTACACTTTATTAGCTATTGTAAGTAATCTAGCGATTAAAGTATAAAGGAGGATGTGCATAGATTAAATGCAAATACTCTGCCATTATGTTTAAGGAACTAAGGTATCCTCAGATTTTGGCAACACTGGGGATCCTAGAGCCAATCTCCCATGAATGCAGAGGGATAACAGTAAAAGCCTGTGGATCTGGGAGTCCCTTTAAGATCTGGACCACACCACTTACTGGCAGTTTATTTGTATCAAGTCACTGCCTCCTTCAGCCCCTTTTTCTTCATCTGAAAAGAAAGGCATATGAAACTAATGCCTTGAAAGGCCCCTTAAGGCCTAAAATACTATAAATTTTATTTTAAAAATGAGTTTAAAAGTAAGATGCTGGCCAGGCACAGTGGCTCATGTCAGTAATCCCAGCACTTTGGGAGGCCGAGGTGGGCAGATCATGAGGTCAGGAGTTCGAGACCAACCTGGCCAACATGGTGAAACGCCGTCTCTACTAAAAATACAAAACTTAGCTGGGTATGGTGGCACTCACCTGTAATCCCAGATACTTGGGAGGCTGAAACAGGAGAATTGCTTAAACCCAGGAGGCAGAGGTTGTAGTGAGTCGAGATTGCGCCACTGCACTCCAGCCTAGGTAACAGAGCAAGACTCTGTCTTGGGGAAAAGAAAAAAAAGTAAGATGTCTGGTCAGCCAAGATGGCAATTTACACAGATGGTTTCTCAGCATTTGTCAATATACTTTGCTAATAAGTGGGAGATATGTGAGTTGTGGGAATCCCCAAGGGACAAGATGAGAGTTTTTAGGGCCACTTACAGGATTGAGGGCGAACTTCTAGAGTAAATTTTCTTGGGGACCAGACATCTTCGTGTCCCCCTTGTGCCGCCTGCTCACAATTAAAGCACAACATGATCTGCACACCTGCATCCCTCAGGTATCCATTGTCCCATTAGTTTGGACAGCCCATCTAAATGTCTAAACCCATCCATTTTTGTTCTATGTGCAAGCAAAGCATCTGTTTTATACTCAGTATTAATCACTTAGATTATTTTGCCTCCCAAGATATCAATTTGTTCAACTATAAAATGAATATACGGTGTAAATACTATCAAATAGTCCCACCTGGGTTAACATTATTTTAAGGGTATATTGAGTAGCTGCTCTTTGCTATTACCTCTACTAGGCGGTTTGGCAAAACAAAAACACATAACACATAGATGTAGCCTTCAAAAGAGTTCTCATATTATTTTCGTTTGAAAGCATCCATGAACTAAATGTGAATTAGAAACTTCAGGCAAAGTAATTAACTAAACAAATAAAATGTAATATTTTTTCAAAAGTTAAAGTTTCAATAAAGTTCCAGAGTTTGCCAGCTCTAATTTTATTTATTTTTAATATCCTGTGTTTTGAATGAGAAAATCTAATTGTTTTGCATTGCAAATCATCTTTTTTGTCTTATAAGTCAGAATTTGTTAAAAGTAAATGGACTATTTGTCAGTGGTTTCACAGGTATGATACCAAAAACACAGGCAAAAAAAGGAATTTTTTCAAAATTAAAAACTTTTTATCAAAGGACACAAGTAATAGAGTGAGAAGGCAACCCAGAGAATGGGAGAAAAGATTTGCAAATCATGTGTCTAACAAAGGGTTAATACACAAAATAGTAAAGAACTCCCACAACTCAACAACAACAAATTTGAAAACCCAATTAAAAAGTGGGCAAAGAATTTAAATAGATATTTCTTCAAAGAAGATATACAAATGAACTATATGACATGAAAAGATGTTCAATAAAAACCACGATGAGATATTTTCTCACACCCATTAGAGTGGTTATTATTTTTAAAGAGTAGAGAAAATCAGTTCTGTTGAGAATGTGGAGAAATTGGAACTCTTGTGTAGCAGTCCTCAGAGTATAAAATGGTGCAGCCACTATGGAAAACAGCATGGCAGTTCCACAAAAGTAAAAAGTAGGTATGTGATTCAGCAATTCCCTTCTTGATATATACCAAAAAGAATTGAAAACAGAGTCTCAAACACATATTGTACACCAAAGTTGATAGCAACATTACTCACAATAGCCAAAAGGTAGAAGTAATTGAAATGTCTATTGATGAATGAATGTATAAACAAAATGTAGTGTATACATCCAATGAAATATTATTCAGCCTTAAAGTAGGAAATTCTTACACATGCCGCAACATGGATAAATCTTGAAGACTTTAAGTTACATGAAATAAGCCAGTCACAGAAAGACAAATACGTCCATGTAATTTCACTTATATGAGGTACTCAGAGTTGTCAAATTCACACAGACGGAAAGTAGAATAGTGGTTGCTAGAGACTGGGGTGGGGGGAATGGGAGATTGTTGTTTGATGGGCACAGGATTTCTGTTTCGTCCAGAGAAAAAGAGTTCTGTGGAGTGACAGTGGTAATAGTAGCACAACAACATGAATGTACTTACTGCCCCTGAACCGTACACTTTGCAAATAGCTAAGATGATAAATTTCACAATCTGTATATTTGAACACAATAAAAAAACTGTAAGAAGAAGAAAGTAGATAAATTATATCTTGGCTTTTTTTTGTTTTTTGAGACAAGGACTCACATTGTCACCCACCCTGGAGTGC